CTGAACCTCCTGAACCCTCTGAACCCTCTGAACCTCCTGAACCTCCTGAACCCTGTCTGACTGTTTGACCTGTCTTTCTGTCTCAGGATAAGTCTCCAGTGCTGTCTCTGACTAACCTGATTGTCAGAGACATAGCCAATCAGGAGCGAGGGATGTACCTGATCAGTGACTCCACCCCTCCAGTGATGTATGAACTGCACGCTTCCTCCAAAGATGACCGCCGTACCTGGATGATGTGGATCCAGCAGGCTGCTCTCAGGTCAGTACTACATTCAGTAGGCCAGTACTGTAATACTGTAGTACTGCTCTCAGGTCAGTACTACATTCAGTAGTTCTGGTATTCATACAGTACAGGGTGAAGTAGTGTCTTGTACTCAGTACTTCATTGTATAATGTTTTTTTCAGTTGTCTGTCCAGAGAAGAGTTTCCTCTCATTGAGACTGAAGACAAAGCTTTACTGAGAACAATCACAGGTAGTGCACCTCCTCCTCCTACTGCACCTCCTCCTCCTACTGCACATCCTCCTCCTACTGCACCTCCTCCTCCTACTGCACATCCTCCTCCTACTGCACCTCCTCCTCCTACTGCACCTTCTCCTCCTACTGCACCTCTTCCTACTCCTACTGCACCTCATCCTACTCCTACTGCACCTCCTCCCACTTCTCCTACTGCACTTCCTCCTCCCACTCCTCTTACTGCACCTTCTCCTCCTCTTCTGCTCTTTCTCTCAAAAAAGTGATCATTGTGGGTTTTTTCTCCTCCTCATTTCCTCTCCTTTTCTCAGCTGATATCCAGCAGAAGAACAGGGAGGTGCTGGAGCTACTGCAGGAGCGCGCCACTCTGTTTTCTGACCTGGTGGAGGCAAGAGGAGGAGCAGAAGAAGGAGGAGGTATGGAGGTGAGCACCTCCTCCACCAGGAGCTCCTCCAGCTCATTGCTCTGCAGGAACCTTTTCAGGGCCGACACTCCTCACGCTCCTCGGGGGGAGCCGCTGCTCGTTGCCGCCCTCGCTGAAGGTGCCGCTCTGTTTGATCTGACGTCTGTTGAAGTACTTTGTTTTGACCACGTTGAGCTTTGAACCTGTTTCTTGGTTTTCAGTCGACAAACTGGCGAAGCTGCTGTTTGACTCCAACACGCAGAGATCGACTGTAACCAACGGCAACCAGAAGCTCAGCAGTGAGTCAGCCTGTCACTCGTCATCACATTTCTGTCATTAGTTAATAACCTTTGAAACGAATCACTGTACAAAAACTATAATTAACAATAATATTCTTATATTTGCTCCTCACCATCACCTGAATCATAACATTCTCAGATTGAAGCTTTTTGACAGTTCAAATTGTCTGTGAATACTGATCCTGCCACCTAGTGTTTGACTGATGACACTGTCATTCACCTGTGTCTCAGACGGTGACTCTGGTTCTCTGAACGGCTCGTTTGACCTGAACAACACCTCGTCACAGGTAAACAAAAACCCTCAAGGTTTTTAAAATTAAATCTACAAGTTTTATTCCTTAATGATCTGGAATGAAAAGTTTCTCTATTGTTTACAAACATATTGATCTTGTCTGTTGCCATAGTAACGGTACCATGTGATTTAGTGTACATTTTGAACAGGAAGTTTATTTTCTGTTTTTGTCTCTCAGGACAGAAACGGGAACCAGCTGCAGGAACGAACTGCAAACAAGGTAAAAGTCATCACTTCTTGATCATGTGACAGAAATCCATCCAGCCGTTGTTTGTCCTTGTTTAATAAAGAATCATAATCACATTAAACTCGTTCTTGAAGGTGAATAAAGTTACACTTCTTCTAAAATGCTAAAACACTAAACCCCATTCAAAACTGTCAACTGGCAAAACTTTATAGAAACAATCACGAAAGGTTAGAGGTCAGAGAGGTCAGAGGTCAGAGAGGTTAGAGGTCAGAGAGGTCAGAGAGGTTAGAGGTGAGAGAGGTCAGAGAGGTTAGAGGTTAGAGGTCAGAGAGGTTAGAGGTCAGAGAGGTTAGAGGTCAGAGAGGTCAGAGAGGTCAGAGGTAAGATCTTCCTGTTGATGAGACGTTTTCACTGTGGTCAAAGAAGATGGTTCGTGAAGAACCAGAGTTCCCTTATGTCTCTTCATAAAACCTGAAGAAGAAAGTGACTGAAACCCTGATACTCAGGAAAATCTCCTGCCGTGATCCGGCGTTAATCTGACTGTGAGCTGGCTGTGATGCGGTTGTGTGGGAAATAAATATTTACGTATCTGAACAAAAATGAGCAGTTTTTAACAGCTGACTCGTCTTCACAGGAAGCCCGTCAGCTATTGGTCAATCTGAACCTCCATCTTCACGCCCTGCAGGTGAGTTGTCTTTATCCTTGTTGTTATCGAACATTGATCATTTGAATGTCAGTTACTCCTGTAATGATGATGTAATAGTTAATGGCCCACTGACTCCACCCCCAGGCTGCTGTGATTTGTCAAGACTCAATCCTGGAGCTGTCAGTCAGAGCAGGTCCCGCCCCCTCCACCCAAGGCTCCACCTCTGGTCCCGTTTCTGGTCCCTGCATGTGTCGCTCTATTTCGCGGGACACAGGATTAGACACCAGTGGGGAGACAATGTTGCTACGGCAACAGGTGGAGCTCCTGCAGCAGGAATTGACACGCCTGCATCTGAGGGAGGAGGAGCCTGAGAAGGTGGAACGAGGCAGCAGGAGGAGGGGCAATGGAGAAATCAAAGATGTCATCAAGGAGGAAGCGGTATGTTAAACTAAGAATCTGATCTAAATGAAGCTAAACTAAGCTAATCTCAGGTGTCTGTGTCAACAGGTGAGCAAGAGGCGTGGCAGCAGGGAACTGGAGCCCCGCCCCACTGTGCCATTGGCCAGTCAGAATGTAGTTGATCAATTAGATGGCTGCAAGGAGAGAAAGGAGGAGATAGAGGAGGAAATGATGATCTCTCCACGCTCTGACAGCCCAAGAGGTTGGTATCTGATCTACAGAATGAATTGATCAGTGTATGGTTTGTTAATGAATATATTAGCTATTGTTCATTATTGATCAGTGCGCTGTATGGTTGGTTCCAATGGTGACCTGTAACCTCTGACCTCTCAGACCTGCAGGACATCCCAGAGGAGAGCGAGTGTGGAGCAGAGCCAAGTTAGTGACACACCTCCACCTGACCTCAGGAACTCTGCTGATGTCGCTTCGATGTCACCAGCTGATGATGACAAATGTTCCTATTTCAAAGACGCTGTTGTTTTTTTACTGAATGTTCATGAAGAAAAGATCTTGTGACCTGTTTACATCATCAGGTCAGCTGGAGCCCCTCCCACAAATGCTCCAGTGGAGGTTATAAAAGAAGGCGGGGCCACAACGATCCATTGAGTCTTTACATTTCTGTCCTGAATCTTCAGAGGGTTAAATCCTGCTGCTGCCACTGAATGAGTCTCTGAGTCTCTGAGTCTCTGAGTCTCTGAGTCTCTGAGTCTCTGAGTCAGAGCTGTTTATTATATGACTGAAGCTGTTAGCATGTTAGCCTGGATTTGTCACTTGTATAGAACCTTTACAGATTCTGTCTCTCTGATTGGCCGGTTGGACGACCAATCTGTTTATTTAATGCTGTTATTGACCATGTTTGTAGAAACGTTAGAGTCAGAACCAGATCAACTACAAACTTATTGGATTGTGTCGCCACCGACTCTGTTGCCATGACACTGTCCTGGCTCGGAGTTTGTTTGATGTTGGATGATATGATGATTCAGTGTTTTAAATGGAACACTGATGATGATGATGATGATGATGATGATGCTTTCAGTGACTCAATGTTAAAATCTTGATGAAGAACAAGATGAAGTTGAATCTGTCACATGATGCAAAAAAATTATTGATAAGATTCAAAACGTATCAAACGTGAATTTCGTGGATCTTTATCAAACAGATTCATCATCTTTTAACTGTAAAAAACATTTCAGGTGTTTTTGTATCATGCGATCTACCTGCAGGTGGCGCTGCTGTTTATCATTTTCAAACTGGACTCAACCACGAGTTTAACAGAAGACAAAAAAAACTGGACTTTATCAGTTTGATGATTTTCCACAAATAAAAAACTGTTTTTATTTTTCTAACAGTTTCTGTTCTTCAGAACGTTCCATGTGTGATGTAATTATGCTGTAATATTAATGATTATTATGAATATTGGTGTAGTATTGATCATGAGGCTGAGATGTTGGGCAACAGTTTGAAACTCTGACTGAGCTAATTCAATATGTAGCGAATGCAGCAGCTTCTTATTTTCATGTTTACGTCTGTAAAGTGACATTTGTGTAAAAAGATTTGAGAAGAAAAGTGTAAATGTTTTTTGCCGTAACTTTATTATTTTCCTGCTCTGACTGTGTGTTTTTTTTTTTATAAATCTAATCAGCTGGAAAATGTGTCTGTGGTTTTATTTCTGGACATGAAATCATAAAAGGCTTCATCTTTAAGTTGGAGGTTTATTCATTACACTGTCTGACATTACCTTCTCTCTTCTGCTCCATAGTTATTCTATCAATCGATCTGCTTTTTAAACTAACGATCGATCGTGAATTGTTGATTCTCATCAGTGAAGCGACCATCGAGAGTCATACTTTACTTTGAGTTGTCCCAGTCATGGTGTGTTAGCGTCAGCCTGTATGTAAAGGTTAGTGTGTACCATGGGGAGCAGTAAATACACAGATGTGTAGTAAAGTCTATTAGAACTGTGACAGCAGCTGCTGGAAACACTGAACACGTGGGTATCATAGTTGTGCTGGTAGTTGTTGTCATGGTAACAGGGTTTTACATCTTTCTGTTTTGATCAAAGTAAAAATCGAATCTATTCGTGATTGAATTCATGAAACTGATTCAGATTCTGATTTCACCAGAAACCACTTTATTTTCAAACCCCGCGTGTTACGTCACATCCTGTGGAGGGAATTTAACCCGGAAGAGGGGTTAGTTGGGAGTTGGCTGGACCAGGAAACAGTGGAGACCAAGACCAGAACCAGGACCAGGACTCAAGAACAAGCCCAGGACACGCAGACGGAGAGACCAGACTCTGTTTCTGTTCGGTTTCTACAAATACAAGTGAGACAGCAGCTTTGCACCGTTAGCCGCTTTCAACTAGCCTGCTGCTAACAGCTAACCTGCTGCTACCCGCTAACCTGCTGCTAACCGGGCAGTGACGGGCTCAGGTGTGTTTTCTTCAGGGGACTCGAACAGGTGACAAACATCACACAGCTCACATGGTCCCTGCTCGCTCTGCACTCTGCTAACAGGCTAACAGGCTAACAGGGCGTTGGTCCGCGGTTAGCACCAGTAGCTAACGTGCTAACTGCTGATCATCAGCACGTCACTCAAATAATCAATAATCATCGATCACTTTCTCAAACGCAAACAATATCATCACTTTTCTCTACGAACACACGACGAGTCACCATCTTACACACGATCGATGATTGATGACGTCATTAGAAGCTGGTAAATAACCTCAGGTGTATCAACGAGGTTTCATTTAAGATCGATCCTCTGACGTCATCCTGGCTGCAGTACAGACAGAACTCACGTCATCTTTTGTTGTAGATGAAACAGATGTTTTTTTTAAATCCTCGTGTTTCTGCACAAAGAAAAACGAAGTAAACTGAAAATAAGGCCACAGTATAAGTACACAGTATAAGTACACAGTCTAACATGAGTGCAGAAAGAAACATAGATCTTTTTTCTCCTTTAGTTATCGCCACATAAGAAACATAAATATGAATAATAAGGCACCACTGCTGTGGAAATATAACGTTCGATCGCCCTCTTCAAATAAAATCATTGGCTATTGAAACAAAAACTTTTACCATGACTAAACATATTGTGTTGGAATGTTTGTTACTTGAAAATGTGAATTTACAAGATGTAACTTGTCATAATGAAGAAAAGAATTTAATGCAGAATAAGTCCGGAGATGTATGTGAACTCCTTTGTGATCTGTAATAGCGTGCGCTCTGAGTCTTTGGTGTCTATTGGCAGAAATTTAATGTAGAATAATCCTCATGATGTTTTCACTAATTCATTTCATCTRAATTRTATKAATTGTAGTTTTCTTTACCCCAGAAAAGAACCTTTATATTTAAATACTTTATATTTAAATACTTTATATTTACATGGAGGGGACCCTCTCTACGGAGGCCACCATGTTTTTTACATTAGTCCAGACTGAACAAACTAAAACCTTTTGAGTTTTTATGAAAACTGAAGCTGCCGCAGGTTCTTCATGTTTGGAAGGGGGGGGGTTCAGCTGCAACATGACACTTCACCACTAGATGTCACTAAATTCTACACACTGTACCTTTAAGTGCCCAGCGAGGCGCAGTGACTGATGGGTATTTTCTTTGCCAACTTCTGGCAAACTGATGAATTGTGGTTCAGTTCCTCTCTGCAGTTTCCACTTCCCTTTTAAATTGAGCATGACTGCTTCTTACGGTTTGGATTCTCACTTAAGATGGCTGACCCTGTGCAGCCACTTCACAGTTCACTACTGGGGCATCAAGCCACACCCACAGTCTCACTGCAGCTGGCTCTCTCCCGCCATGTTTTAGGGTCACATCACAAAGTCTAACCAGCATGCATCACGTTAAACCAGCGCTGCACAGAACTGCTTAAAGCCAAACGCACCTGTTGTCACATACGTTTTACATAAAGTTCACATTTCATGTGAACTGGACTCGAAATAAAATAACCAGCAGCTGATGTTAGTGATTACTGTGATGTCATCAAACAAGAGAAAATCTATGAGAATCTGACTTGTTTTAAACACGATGCAGAAAGTGTAACACATCGTTTCAGTTCATTTTTCTTTATTAGAATTGAACTAAAGTTTAACTTAAGTTATTTCACTTGCCTCTAATGTTTGGTCTCAATATTACTAAAATGATTTCTACAGCAACTGAAGATCAACAGACAAATATAAACACATATAAATCCAGTGTGGTCGTCATGAGACGTTTGAACCAATGATGTGACGGTAAAGGGCGTCTGTTGTTTGTGCAGTAGAAGAAGAAGATGAGTGGAGGAGGAGTGAACAGCATCGATGCAGTGAAGAAGAAGATCAAGGTTCTGCAGGATCAGGCAGAGGAGGCCGAGGAGAGGGCGGAGCGACTGCAGAAGGAGGTGGAGAAGGAGAAGAGGAGCAAAGAGGAGGTACACACACCTGTACAGGTGGAGCAGGGGTTCAGTCAGGTGCTCAGTGGTTCTTAGTTTGTTCCTCTGTCGTTCCTCAGTTTTCCCTTTTTGACCAAGTTGGACCTGGTGCGAGGGCTGGTTTGAAGTTATGAGAACCTTTAGGAACCAAGTTAGCTTTTCCATGTGCCAAAGCCACGACATTACGGAGGAGGTGCATGTGTGAGAGTTAGTACGTCACTTCCTGTCTCTGTCTGCTGCACCCAGCTGCTCCACCTCTCATCTGAATAAAGAAGAGGGTTTGATGCTGTTGTGAATGAGTCTGTGTTTTTTCTATGAGGGGCAGTTTTCATTATCCCAAGGGCACTTTGGCATGCGGATGGGAAAGACTGGGATCGAATCACCGACCTTTGATTCCTTGCTGGTTCCTCAGTGGACTTGTTTGTGCATCAGGTTTGTTCAGATGCCACAAATATCTGAACAAAGAATGTTGTGAACGTTAAAGGAGTATCTGTAGTATCTGTAGTATCTGTAGTATCTGTAGTGTCTGTAGTGTCTGTAGTGTCTGTAGTGTCTGTAGTGTATCTGTGGAGTTCAGTTCAGCATGAAGCCTTTGATGATACACACTTTGATGATGGGTCCCGGACTGTGTCCCTGCGGTGTGTCTTGCAGGCGGAGGCGGAGGTGACAGCTCTGGGTCGTCGTCTGCAGCTCAGTGAGGAGAATCTGGACCGAGCTCAGGAGAGACTCTCCACCGCCCTCCACAAACTGGACGAGGTGGAGAAGTCTGCGGACGAGAGCGAGAGGTCGGAGATGCACCACACCCCCACACCAAACCCCCACACCACACGCCTCCTATAACATGCCATCTGTCCCTGTCCATCTGTCCCTGTCCATCTGTCTCTGTCCATCTGTC